ATAAGGCCTGCTTACTTCCTGTACACATCGTAAAAATACGCACAAATTATAGAGACACTTAGCTTCTTAATTGTACGTCTGCATGAGATAAGCACCCTCGCTACTTTTAGGGATGAGTTTAAAATTATTGGTTAATACATGTGCTTGTGTTTACAACAATTCTTTAGCATAGCACCGAGGATGTCAGCGCTGAAGAATAGCCTGATGTGTGATTGAAGAAAGCCAACTTCTAAATTATTCGATGACACTAACAGTTTTTTTTTAAATTATAATATTAATTTTAAGGAAACATGATGGAATCAACGGAAATTAATCAAAACACAGTAACGATAATTTAAATATGGAGGACGTATCATCTATGAGGTGTAACAGTAATTGAAGAAAATAATTATGGAATTATTGAAATGCTGATTATGAGGTTATTCGTGATAAACTGAGGTGATGTGAGATGGTTCTGCAGGAAAAATCCGATTATTAATTTTTTTAGGTCCATAGAACTCTCGATCCGATCGTTCAAAGTTAGTGATTAATTGGAATGATAGAGAAAAAGCATATATACAAACGAAATAACCGTTCCAGCAACGTGCATACCATTTTATAAATACCATTCTACCTCATTCTGAGCGTAATTTTACACCATCCAAAAATTGTAGAAATGGATACCACCATTTGAAATGGATAGTCAACAGTAGATCAATCACTACCAGACAATAAGTCATCTATTGAATTTTGGCAAAATTGAGGAATTTTGTACAATAGCCGAGACAGCGAAATTTCCATGCTGTGAACGTCTCATGCAGAAGCTCGAAATGCTGCAATGCCCTTAACTGCATTGATATTCCGTCTCAAAAGCGCCCGATCACGATATTAAAACTTGCCATACTAAGTTATCCTCTTATTACGAATAGCCGGATCCACAAATACACAAATTTTACCAATCTTCCAGGTGGAAAATTCTGTGGAGGCCGAAACTCAATCAATTCGCCTCGTTTGCAAAATATATCCTACTACATGGTAAATTCTGCAGTGCTTAATTTGGACTGATAATGCGTGACATTTTTAGTAAAAAATTATCAAAAATTCTGATGATAGCTGAGAATGATGACAAAGGACATCATTCACGCATCAACGATTGAATACGAATGATGACAATCGACAAAATCATTAATTTAAAACTCTAGGGTCACTTCCTAAAGTTATCACGGGAAAGGTCTATTTAATCCACTGCATACTTTTATGTAGAACTCCTCACTAAAAATCCATCTAATCCACTGCATACTACTATGTCAAACTCCATGTTAAAAATCCATCTAATCCACTGCATATTTCTATGTCAAACTCCACACAAAATCCATCTAATCCACTGCATACTTTTACTCTAAACTCCATGCTAAAAATCCATCGAATCCACAGCATACTTCTATGTCAAACTCCATGCTAAAAATCCATCTAATACACTGCATACTTCTATCCTAAACTGTATGCTAAAAATCCGTCTAATACACTACATACTCCTATCCTAAGCTCCATGCTAAAAATCCATCTAATCTACTGCATACTTCTATCCTAAACTCCATGCTAAAAATCCATCTAATCTACTGCAAACTTCCACACTAAAAATTCATCTTATCCACTCCGATCACAGCGCAAGATTTCGCCGATAAGACGACATATGCCCGCGCGGTTATAGCAGCCCGCGACGCACGAGTCCCAGCGTGCAGCGTCGTAAGTGAATGCGCCAATCAATGTGTATAAGAGACAGATGTAGTGACGGCAATGTTTCAGAGATCAGCTCCATTGTCAAAGGTAAATACGTAACTATAGGTATAATAACTTAACGAGGTAAGGATTACCAGCAATATTGACAGCTCTATTTTAATTTAACTGGAAGTACCAAGTCTAAGTTTCCGATAATCTCTTGAGAAGGGATGCAGTCAACTCTTGATCCATGCGATGCAGCATGAACGAGGCGATATCACTTTCACATTAAACGCAAATACTAGATGCAAATTAGTATACCATTATCTTCACACTGTAGGTGGAAGGTAAAATTTTAGATCAATTCTGGACATATGGATGTTACACTGTGCGTTGTTTATGCGCTCTGCAGAATGTGATGGATGATCATGAAGGTTTCCGGTTAATGTATATCGAGTAAGTTTCCGGTTAATTTGTATCGAAAGTAAAACGAATATGATTTCAAATTAATATACGTGCTAATGAATCAACATATATCTAAGCGTAACGTAAACTCCGGAGATGCAATATATTCCATAATTATGTTTATTTTTAAATCTTCCGTTAAAAAATAATCATTTTACATGAAGTGATTAATAGGTTATGTTAAAAATGAAAAANCACATGGCGGTAATTATGTCAACAATTTGCCTGCACATGGCGGTATTTATGTCAACAATTTGCCTGCACATGGCGGTAATTATGTCAACAAGTTGCCTACACATGGCGGTATTTATGTCAACAATTAGCCTGCACATGGCTGTAAATATGTCTCCAACTTGTTGGCTCGGTCAATTTCTATGTCAACAAGTTGCCTGCACAGTTCGTAGTCTCGCCAGTGAGGTAGAAATGTTATAAACATGAACTATTATGGCACCTGCAGTGCCGTGATAGTCGCCGATGTGTAGCGTGTAGTTCGTAGTCTCGCCGGTGAGGTAGAAATGTTCGTAGGTCGCCCAGCGCCGCTCCTCGGCCCAGTCCTCCAGCTCGATGCGGAGGACGTAGTCGCCTGAAGACGTCAGCTGGTGAATGTGTTCATTTCCTGCCAAATTATTTAAGCTTACAAACTGTTCAGTTATATAGAGAAATACCCAGTAATATTATAAATTATTTAAACGGATTCGATAGATCATCACTCTCAGTGTCGATGGGAATTCGGATTCTAGGAGGTTTTAAGTTCTTTCAAGAATTTTCTCAAGTTTCAATCTTTCCGGAAGTTAAGGCCAATTATTAGTTATAAATTTAAAAGATTTCCCTCAGATCCAAAAAGTAGGAAGGCTTGATGCCAGTGTTATTTCTCCGAGGAACAGATTGCACAATAATGCCAACAGATACGAGTTTTTTACAATTTGAAATGGTAAGAGTTTCTACTCCGTAATGAAATGTTGTGGCCCATATAATGTTCAAATTTGAATGCCAAATCTGTTCACTAGATCTCGAAGAATGACTTCCAAAACTTACAGGACGAGAAAATTTAGACTTTCTTTTTAAACATTAAGGTAATAAATTGTAAATAGTTGGGTTACACTGAGGTGATCTCTGAATTCTACCAGTTTACGAGCAAGACTATCAATCTAATGTTTTGGTGCAACTGACACGAGCAACAAAAACATCATCATTTTAAAGTCCGTATCAATTGATTAAAACATGATCACCTGATATTCACAAGTTCCATCTGTGTTAAATATAAGTTACAGTTGTTACTGAAAGTCGACTTTTTGTAGGTCAAATGCAACACCCTGCTTATAAGAGTAATTTACCTTCTAATAAAAATCTATAAACATCCAATATATTTACACGTAAACTAAATCCAATTTACCATGAATCTACTCGGAAAAGAAAAGCTCGAAGTACAGAACGAATATATACGTATATCCAATGAAAAATATTTAGCATTTCGACGTAAGAACTATCCATAATAGAGCATTTCTGCAGACCTATCCAGTGGTCGGCCTCGAGCTGCCCAAAGCCCCACTTGTAGTCCGCCCAGTCCCTGAAGAAGTCGTCTCTGCCGCTGCTCTGCGACCCCCGTCTCTGCACCACCGTCCAGCCACCGCCCTCTGTGTCCATGTCGCACCAAACCTGCCGGCACATGGCAATTGAATTATGCTTTATAATATATATATCATGTGCAGCAGTGTCGGCTGAATAAGAACATTTGTTTATGTTCGTACTTTAGGCACATAAAACCTGCCGGCACATGGTAGTTAAATTATGCTCAATAATATTTATATCACGTGGTAGTTAAATTATGCTCAATAATATTTATATCACGTATACAGCAGTGCCGTCAGAGTCTGATCACTCATTTTTGTCCGTACTAAAGCTATACCGGATCTGCAAATATGCGGCAATTTGCGTATATCATCATCGTTCGTATTGCATTAACGCTGAAATCAGAACACTTCCTTAATTATAATGTCCGTACATAGAAGGCGCACCCCCTCAGGGGGGACTTCTGACGCGTGTCTGTGCTCGTCAGAAGTTCTATGGGATTTCGCGCTCCTAGGGGGATTGTTCCTGAGCGCCCCACCGCTGAGCTCGCGGTGTCTGACTGTAGGTCTC